GAGAACACTTGGCAATCCTGTGTGGGCCAGAGCAAGAGGGCACAGGGACGGCTGATGGGGTGCATCCTCAGGGGAGGGCTGCAGCCTCAGGGGAGGGCTACTTGGCAGGATCTGTTTCAAAGCCTTTATCCTAGATCAGCTTGTGGCTTGGTGATTAAGGCGACTGGATTCCACATGGCTGATTCTGTATTTTGAGTCCTGGATCTGGTGGTTTGAAAAACACACTTGGTGCATGTGCTTGTGCGCCAAATCTTGAAAAGAGGGAGAGTGGAGGAGAAGGGATCGCAGTGTGACCATTTCCCATGAGGGGGAAGGGTCCTTTCTTGCTTCCTCTCTTGCATGCACTGAGTGCATGCATTCCCTGGCAAAGAAGAAAAGAAAAAAGTCTCTATATATATACCTTGTCCCAGAGATGCCACTTCTAGGTGTGAATCCACCTACGACACTTGCAAAGTTGTTGGTACAAGGGTAGGTTGTGGTTCTGATGGACTGAAAACATCTCACATGTCCCTGAGCCAATGATTCAGTTGAACTTTTGAATAGAATGCAACCCCTGTAAAAGGTTGATCCACATTTATTGACTTGGATGACATGTTTGGTTTATTAAGTGAAGCCAACCACCCAACCAAGACCCACAGGGCATAGACCTGAAGGAAGAGGAATTCCACTGCATTTTAAAAGGGCATGGAGGGACCAGTAGTTAGCGTAATGGCTATGTCGCTGGACTCCCATGTAGTTGACTGCGGTTCGTGTCCCGGACCCGGTGGCTTGAAACTCATGCTGGACGCATGTGCGTGTGTGCCCAAGATCCCGAGAGGAGAATGGAGGAGAAGGGATTGCGGCATGGCCATCCCTCCTGGGGGGTGATTTTTCGCTTTCTGTCTGTCTCTCTCTGTTTGTCTGGTGAGTGCACGTGCCCTATAGCAAAAATAAAAACCTCACAAAAAAAAGGGGGGGAGGCATGGAAGGGTCCAGTAGGTAGCATAGTGGTTGAGGCATTGGACTCACACATAGCTGATGGCAGTCTGAGTGCCGGACCTGGCAACTTGAAACTCACGCCGGGTGTGTGTGCCTGAAATCCAAAGGGGAGATTGAAAGAGTGGATTGCAGTGTGGTCATCCCACCTGGGGAATGATTTCTTGCTTTTTGTCTCTTTGGCAAGCTCATCTGTCCAACAGCAAAAATCTCTTTAAAAAAAAACCAAAAAACAAAAAAAAACAACAACAAAAAAAAACAGGCAGCCATGAAACACAGACCCCTCTGCAAGATGCTAAGGAGTTTTGTAGTTGTTTTTGATTTTTGCTATAGGCACATGCACTCCCCAGAGAGACAGGGACAGAAAGCAAGAAATCACCCCTGAGGAATGATGGTCATGCTGTGGTCCCTTCTATCAGGATCTTGGACACACATGCACACGCACACATGCCAGTGTGACTTTCAAGCTGCTGGGTCCCATACTCAAACTGCAGTGGGCCACTTGTGAGTCCAGCACATTAACCACTATGCTATTTGCTGGCTCCAAGGAATTGTTTGTTAACAGTGATTGCTCAGAATCTCCTGGGTGGGGAGAGGAAGAGATTTTAATTTTTTTTTTGATCTGGTATGTTCCAGTTTGTTTTTAAAAGGCTGCACTGCATTCATAATTTAAGAAGTAAATGGAAAGATTTTGGAAAAAATACTGAGTATGCAGTGGAGAAAACACCCAATTCTGGGGGGAAATGACATTAACACCCCCATGTCACCTTCCTGCCTGGGATCCCTCAGCCTGCCTGATGCAGAAGGTGCATAACCGAAACCAGCTCTTGGTGACCTCACCTGCCTTTTCTGTGAGGAGAGGCTGGTGGGGGTAGGTAGGTACAGTCTGAGTGTGGAGGCTCAGCTGGGACCCATGTTCTCTGAGACTGAGGTTTGTCACCCATTGGCTATCTCTTCCCTGGCAAGGATGGTGTGATCTACCCTGGTCATTGGCACTTGGCTCACACACCTTTTAATGAACATTCCCAGCGGTGCCCATGGCTACAGCCCGAGGATGGAGGGCTCAGCAGAGACTCCTGCAGCCGAGTACCTTGAGGCTGTCGCCCACAGTAGGTGTACAGGCACCGTTCCAGCACCAGCATCTGAACAATGGTCCCACCAGGCTCGCCAGTTTCCTGGCTCGCTCAAGCCCCCACCAGTATGTTCGGTGGCATTGCGCCTGGGCAGGTGGGAGGCTGTGCGTGGATGCGGAGCCAGCGGCGGGGAGACTTTCCCAGGCGAGTCCCAGGGCGAGGAGGCTGAGGACGCCAGGGCAGGCGCAGGAGGAGGCCGCCCGCCCGCGCCGCTGGGGGCCGCCCGCG